ATTATTGTCTTATGAAACCTTTATACTGTCTAATATCCAGTTAGTTGCAATTTGTCAGGGAGGGTAGAATGCCCTTGGTAGAAAGGTGGTCCGATTGATACTTTGATTGTCTTTATTAAAATAATAATGTATTTTAGGTTGTTCACTCAAGACACGGACATATCTTATCTCCACAAAATAACCCTCAATTTTATTTCCTAATTCAGAAACGGAAAATAAAAGTTTGACCTGAAAGTTTAGAAGTCGAGGGTAGGGGAATCAACACCCTCAACCTGACTTATCTAACGGGTCAATCGTAGTTGTCTTACCGCGCGGACTCCATTCCTATGTTGCGACGATTGAGCAAACACCCTCGACCAACTTACTTTTACAAAGGCAAGTAAAAACCTTCGCATGTGGGTTAGTAGATATGCCTACCTAAGGGTGGTGACAACCCCTTGGGTAGCGGTAAGTTGTACCTTGCGGAACCCCGACCTGTCGTGGGGTGTCATGAGAGGTATAGCCGGCATGCACGGTCGGAGTGGAAACTGATTGTTTCTTCTTGTAAAAAATTATGCGTGACACGACCACGAGTTTCCACGCTCATTGTAGCATACAGAACCGCCACACGCGACAACGCATTCCCGGAAATGCCCATTTTCCGGAGTGGTGTGGTGAAACTCTAAACCACCAGTACCAAGCAAGATTGGGCCGCCGTTGATAATTCTTTTCTGTCTAGCCTATGGGCATCCACATCATGTGCCAAATGAGAATGAACTTTCTGCTATAACATGGTTAGATGCACCCGCCACATTTTGACTTTTTCACGTTTCAAGAGTTGTGTGAGGCCCTATATATGAGCTGATTCTTTTTGTAAACAAGAAAAAAAAGAAGGGAAATTTGCGAAATGCTCCTGAAATTTGCATTTGTTCATGGTTTGCCCCTCTAACGGGTGACTTACCTGATTTGCCCCTCTGACAACGGTTCAAGTTTACTGTCATTTGGGCCTCAAATATGTTCAATATGTCCCTACCGGTACCGCTGGCAAATTTCCCGTATGCCCCTACCGAATGGCCGTTGAGTACCTGCACTACAATTTCCCATATGCCCATACCAGTACCATGCATCTTTTCAGTGTGCCCGCATGGTCGTTGTTGGCAGTTGCGGCCCGTTGTGAGTGAGAGTGTGTGTGTGTGTGTGTGTGTGTGTGTGTGTGAGAGAGAGAGAGAGAGAGAGAGAGAGAGAGAGAGAGAGAGAGAGAGAGAGAGAGAGAGTGTGTGAGTGTGAGAGTGTGTGTGTGTGTGTGTGTGTGTGTGTGTGTGAGAGAGAGAGAGAGAGAGAGAGAGAGAGAGAGAGAGAGAGAGAGAGAGAGAGAGAGAGAGAGAGAGAGAGAGAGAGAGAGAGAGAGATATTTTGGAATACAAGTACGATAGTTGGCAAGTTGAAGGAGGAAGAGGAGAGGGAAGAGATGGAAAAAAGCAACGAGGCCATACTCACATGAATCCGATCGCAGCAGAAAGACAACGGCAAAAGGATGGGAGGACCAGGCCATACTCGCCGGTGATGGGAGAACCAGGCCATACTCGCTGGTGAATCTGCACGCGGCAGAAAAGCAACAGAGAGAGAGAGAGAGAGAGAGAGAGAGAGAGAGAGAGAGAGAGAGAGAGAGAGAGAGAGAGAGAGAGAAGAAGGGGTGGAACACAGACCTTCGGAACAAACTCCAAGGACGTCCAAGGCAGTGTGTAGCAGCAGAACAGGAACGAACTCCACGGCGGTGGATTGGAGGTGCAAGGTGCAAGGGCGACGTGGAGTGCTGGAGTGCAACCCTCTTTATTTGCCGCGCCATGGAAAACTCCGTAGTTTGAATTCGAATTCTTGGCGCCTCCCTCTTGCATGGTATCTCAGAAAGATGCATGCCCTGCAGGAGGGCAAATCAGAAAGGCACAAGGGGAAATAGGACCGCCGGTCTGGTTGGGTTGTTCCGGAAAGTTGGGCCCCTCACTGACAGGCGCCTGCACGAAAATTCAGAGGCCACAGGGGGAAAAAAGGAAAAAAAAAACAAAAAAACTTTTTGATTGTGGCGCCATGTTGGCGCTTCGGCGCTCTGCAAGTGCCCTCTTTTTGCTCTTTGGGGCACAGCGTTGAGGTATCATCGTGAACAACCGGCCTCTGGTACTGATGTGATTCAGTAGTTGTCGAACTCAGCGTTGAAGTCTATACCATTCAGCCACACGGGCTCGGTAGTGTCACTTTTTGCGGCTTGGTTGTGACGACCCTGCCGACCCACGTCATTCGGCATCAGCTTGGCACTTCTTCTCTCAATTCACCTCACAGCCAGAACCGTGTTCATGAGAGAACATGCGGGGGCTGCTCCCGACCTGCAGGTGGGCGATACCGGCCAGGGGACAGCCGGTAGCATCAGGGACCATGCCAACAGGACCAATCCCTGTGCCTCCCCTCAGGTCCCCTCCCCTACGAACATTGGCAGACTCTGCTCAATGCCGATGGACGACGGATCAGAACAGATACTACACAGTGTACACACATGATCTAGCCTAGAGGCCGAGAAAGGTATAGCTGTCCTTCGGGACATCCGCTAAAATTGGAACGATACAGAGAAGATTAGCACGGCCCCTGCGCAAGGATGACACGCATAAGGTATAGCTTGGCACTTTTATGGAGGAGGGTGTCGGCATTGGGACCTTCCGCCTTGTCGGGGAGAAGACGCGGACTGCACGGGCGCGCCCCGTCCACCTGGGTGCACCAGTGGCCGCCTGCGCCGCTGGACCATTGCACCGCGGGATCATCCTCCATCCATCAGTCTTAGTCATTACGGCTTGAATGTGCATCCCGTGTGCAGTTCTTTGCTTCGACAACGGTGCCTACCTTGGAGCTCGCCATCTCCTACGCCTGGGTCGGCCCACCGGTAACTTCCTCTCTCTCTCTCTCTCTCTCTCTCTCTCTCTCTCTCTCTCTCTCTCTCTCTCTCTCTCTCTCTCTCTCTCTCTCTCTCTCTCTCTCT